GTTGGTGTACTACACTGGTACCGCAATACATGGACAACTTGTTTACAACAATACCACACCTAATAAACAAAAACAACCTATACAGGTTCCAGTAATTATTTAATTATAGTTATTTAGTCATTTTGCAGGTTTCTTATTCGATATTTTCTGCTATTGTTTTGGAATAGAATAATAGCAGTCTTTTGATATCGTACAATAAATTACATTGTTGAAATCAGTATGGTAAGAGTTAAAAAGGAAAGACAGCCAAGAGTTAACTTCAAAAAAAATGAAATATGGAGAAGTACTTCTTCAAAAAGCAAAAAACCATAAAATGTTTTGGAGTGAAAATGATTGAAAAAATATATTAAAAATCTCAAACAAAATATATTTTTTTAAAAAAAGACAATATCATAGAGTATCATAAGGTACTTTTCGAAAAAAGGAGATAACTGATGATACTTTTTTTAAATTAAGCATAACAATCGGTATTATTTGTATCAAATAGCAAAATTATTGAGCACGAATTTAAAATTGTTTAGTATCTTCCGTTGAAAATGAGATTTCAACGTCTTTTGTTGAATCTGAAAAAACAATAATTTTATGCCATTCTATGTGCCATTCACTCATTAAAGATAAAAGAAGTGCTTATATTACTGTTTTATCAATAAAATGCTGTTTAGTACTTTTCTATGAGTTCAGTTTTCACTTAATACAGATGTAAAATGAGCTTATTGTAGAAGCACCACGGAAATGGAGAGCCGGACAGTGATCGTTTGATACTGATATCGTATTTAGCTGCGATAAGTCAGTTTCCAAAGAATCTATTCGATTCACTAAAATTATTGTCTGAGGTTTGTTCCTCCAAGTTTTACAGTTTTATATATATCACGACGGGTTGAACTATTTACAACTCGACTGGCGAATGGATTTCCCCACTCTATAAGCTCAAATGATCTGTATAAGCTCTATCCCAATTATATTACATTAATATTTGAATAAATTATTGCTAGTTTATCTAAACTAGTGGGACGAATATTCTTATAATCGATAATTATAATCAATATTACATTTATGGTGTAGGTAAATTTCTGTATTTTCAAATTAATTTGTTTGAAAATAGTTGAAATGTGTATTGTATAAATAATAAGAACATCTATAGGTAAGTCAAATCTGAGCAACAAGTAAATGAAATTAATGGTTCTGTAGATTAATAGTAATGTGTTGGAGGTAATTAGTAATGAAATTTTAAATAGCAACGAAAGAATGTACCTACTTTCTTCAGGCCAGTAATATTGAAACAACAGCTGAGAGAGATGAAAATTATGACCATTTATCGAAGTGTTTCCGAACAGATTTCGAAGGTATGTGTCACAGAAATAGTAGACGAATGAATTGCAGATATCTGGGTAGGATTATATTTTATGAATTTCTTATCATGTGTGGTATTTTCGAACTTTTCTAAATTCAGGTTCCATGATATCCGGAGCTTTGCAAGTAGCGGTGGATGATGTGAATGCCGATCCGGAATTGCTTCCAAATCACAAGCTAACATATGTATTCAACAACACTTGTGGCGACGAGCAACAAAGTTCTATTTATTTTATCGTCAAGTGAAACATTAAAATTAATGACCATTACGGTTTTTTTCTTTTATTTTTTAGCATTTTTTCTTTGTTCCCTATTCATAGAATTTTAGGTACTCGATTTTTCATGCAACATTGGGCAAAAGGTGCAAAGGTTTTTATCGGGCCGGAAATGAACTGTCGAACGGAAGCAGCGATGGCTGCTGCTCAGAATTTGCCCATTCTATCTTATAAATGCAAGGATGAGATGATGTCCGACAAGTCGAAGTTTGTATTTTGAAAGTTAATTTTGAAATGAATAAACGATTAGATTATCCCTGCTGATATCAGAGGAGGTTCGGGAAAAACATATTCCGCTATAAGAAATTTGAAAGTTATCATTTTCCATTTTTACATTTCAGATATCCTACATTCGCGAGAACAGTACCAACAGAAACAGAAATAACGGCCGCTCTAATTGCATTGTTCAAGTATTTCAAATGGCGCAAATTCTCAATAATTTATGAGGGAAATGTAGCAAACCAGGAATTATTCCGTTCAATAAAGGTATTTAGAGGTTTTGTACGATCTATTATAGTGTTAGCTGCTAAACTTAAGTTTAAGTACTTCTCGGTCCTTATCTTTAGCGGACGAAAGTTATGTTCATTCATGAATTGGCTCTCTTCCCTTTTTACTTACCCTCTCTAATACATTATTTTCACTATAAAAAGAAATTTTTATAAAGTAAATAGTGTGATGCAACGATGAGTAAATATACCATATAGAGAAAACGAAATGTAGTAAATAAAGATTAAGTATTCATTGTAGAGCACTATTGAAAAGCAGAATGCAGGCATGGAGATAAGTGATACTCATTATGTGATCATGAATGTGAGTACTGTACCTCATCCGTACTCGGAAATTGAACGAAGCAATATTGAGCAGATCATATCTGATACATCTGCCACAACTCGAAGTCAGTTCCACCTTATTTTTAATTTCAAAACTAATTGAAATGGCATAGTTAAAGAAGCTATCTACTATTGTTATCGTCGTTCTTTGTACCTAAAATTTATTAGAGTACAACTAATTGACAAATTTAATTTCGCTTTGATCCGACAATGTCAGGTTGTGAGTTTTGCAGTTTATTTGACTTTTGGAAATGTTCGTTTGTTTCGTCGAATACTTCTGGAAATGGGAGCGCAGGGTTTAATGGAATCTGGTAATTATGCGTTGATTTACTTGGATCCTGACTATGATTGGTTGAACACCTACCATGCCATGAATAATCACTTTTTCAGAGGTATTTTTTGGAAATTTCTGATAATGTAAATTTTTAAATTTTAATTAAATTCAAGATTCAAATGATTTCATAATTTTAAGATCTTATTTCCAAGGAAATCTTATTTATTATAAATTTAATCCCGTTATGTTGACACCTTTTTTAGATACTCTGCTTTCGGTAAAACAATCATGGGATGATTTAAATTCACAAGATCGAAAAGTTGTCAATTTCTCGAAATTTGCCCTGGCAATCATTCCAACGCCAGTACAGTTAAATGCTCCGGAGTTCGTGGAATTTTGGCGAAAAGCCAATCATTATTTACCATTATTTGGTGTAAAGCAAAACAGTACTACAACTTCTATTAAGGTATCTATTTCCGAGTTTTTTGCATAAAGTCGAGAACACTTGCTAATTTCATTTTTCGACAATTCATCTGTTAATTTGTCGTCCTTGTCCTGCATTTTAACTTTTGGTTCTATTTTAACTTTTTAGTATTTGCAATTATTGCTCCACAATATTTGGAATTGCTTGCAAATAATGCTGTATAATAGACTAAGAAGATCTTTTCATTGATTGTGTTTTGTAGGTGAATCGTTTTGCATGTTATTTATATGATTCGGTGAAACTATATGCATCAGCATTAACAGTAGTATTAAATGAAACAGCGAATGAGCAGCTTTCAGTTGGTTATGATCCGATTTCGGATGGGAGACGAATCATCAGTCATATTTTGGGACGTGTGTATCGAAGTAAGTGTATCAAAATAAGGTAGCAAATTTTTCATAATCTATCTTATGAAATATCTTGATGCTAGCAGTGTCATATTTGTACCGCTCTTTTTTCTGGCTTGATAAGCCGAACTGGAGAGTACAGAAGTTGAAAAAAAAAATGTTGATTGAAGGTATACAAGGATTCGACATGCATATTAATAGTAACGGAGATGCACAAGGCAATTATACTCTGCTATCATTACAAGAAGTGAAGCCAGTATTGGATGTGGATAATCCTGATTACTATCCGCTCAATTATGGTCTAGACATTTCTGCCGATTTCGTTCTTGATTTTATCGGCGATCTTCCTCTATTGCGCTTCAAACGTGATATCCAGTGGCCTACCGGCTTTGCACCTCGTGACGAACCTGTTTGCGGATTTCATGGAACAATGTGCAAGAAAGGCATGTTTTCCATTTTTATGTTTGAAGAGTAGAAATAATTCAGTTTTCTTTTGATATTTTTTAAAATTTTTTCTTTATATTTTTATTATCCAGAGCCTGGTGAATTTTGAGGTATCGGGAAGCCGTAATTAAAATTTGAAACCCTTGTAGGTGATAATTCGTCTAAAAAGTATTACTGACACATATTCTCTTAATCTAGAAATATATTTCAGACTGGTGGTTAACAGTTCCTCTGACAGTGGTCATTACATTGTGTTTTTTCTCGGTTATTGGAAGCGCCATGATTTACCGGTATATTATACAGTTAAAGAAGGAAAGAAAAGTAGTTTGTAATAGTTTTTCCGGCATTGACATTTGATAAAATAATTCTAGGAGTTACAAATTTGAGAAAGAGCTATCAAATATTTGGAAAATTGATCAACGTGAAATCGAAAAGATTGTGCGATGCTGTGAATCTGCTTCTTCATTATATGTTGCGGAAAACAATCAAGTAATTTTTGTCTTTTTAATAGACTTTTATAATATTTACTTTATATAAATTATAATTACCAACAGATATTAAATTTGTTGTCCATCCAAACTGTTTCGCTATTTAAGTTTTTCATCAAACTCTTCACATGTTAACTGAATTTGATGGTTACTGACTCGAAAAGCATTGGCAAGTAGACGCAGCCATAACTGGAAAACTTTTAGATGTTGCTGCGAAAGGATGAGCAATCTAATCAGGAGAAACGGTTGCCTGGATTGTGTGGTGTTGCACTTTATAAAGGTGCTGTGGTATCGATTAATGAAATCACCTATCCGCGCAAGATAAAGGAGTTGACTCGTGCCACCAAAAAGGAAATGAGAATTATGCGTCAATTGCATCACGACAACGTCAACTCATTCAGAGGTATATAATTTAATATATTTTGTCTATTACATTCTTTTTCTTCCAATGACATTTTCTGAAAAAATCCTTATCTCACAAAGTTTTCTTATTTATGAGGCAGTAAAGCATTCTTTAGATTGTGATCGCAAAATTGTGAAATTTTTCTCAAGAATAATATATCATTGAATGTATAGGAATTGTGATTGGTTCTTCATCTATATGTGTAGTAAGAGAATTCTGCGCCAGAAGTTCGTTGATGGATATCCTTCGTAGCGATGACTTCAAATTGGACCATTTATTCATCGCATCATTCGTGGATGATCTTGTAAAAGTATTCTCTTTATTGCATTTTATTTCATTATTCCATTATATTACGTTCCATTCTATGATTGAAAAAAAAAAAACGATAAAATATTACATGTTGGTTTGAAGGGTATGATATATCTGCATGAATCAGACTTGGGAGTGCATGGAAATCTAAAATCTACCAATTGCTTGATTACAAGTCGATGGGCCTTACAAATAGCTGATTTCGGATTGCACGAAATTCGAGACGGTCAAGAATGGGAAAGTGATGATTTTATGGTTAGTTTCTAGAATATTTTGCCATGGCTTGTATTATATAGATCCAATTTTTGTTCTCTTTTAGTTTCTTACATTTTATATCGTGCAAATACTTAATTTCATGCATAACTTGATGTTAAGTGGGAAAATTTTTTGTGGACAGCACCGGAATTGTTACGAGAAAATGGATGTGTGCATGCTGTCAAAGGTACTCAAAAGGGTGATGCTTATTCGTTTGGCATTATTTTGCATGAAATTATAACACGAAAGGGACCATTCATGATGCTGCAAAACAGTGATTTAACTGCTAAAGGTTATCTCTGTATATTATATCGATTGGTTTCTTAATGGTATGTGGTAATTGGGTGTTATAGTTTCATTTTTAGATTTATGATTACATAGTATAGTCTAGTATTACGCAAAGTTTTGATTCTTAGTAGAAGTTATTTCATCATAATATATAACTATAAATAGGCATCAAACTTATTTTTAAATAGAGATTTACCTGAGCTTATGTTGCCATAAGTGTCAGTAGTGATATGAATGTAGCTTACTGAATTTGCATAGGAACAAAAGATTTCTTCATTTTATTACCACTATCATTATTATATAATCATATTACTTGAAATGTTGTGTTTTGAATTTAATTGAATATGTGAAACAATTCGATGAAATTGTAGAAGTAGTGTTGAATGTATTGAATGATGTTGATTATCGTCCATTTTGTGACGGTCTCCCAGCTGCTAGTTACGTTGTCAATGTTATGACACTGAGCTGGTCTGCTATTCCCGGAAATCGTCCCGACTTTCGAACCATTCGACACAAACTAAAACCTATGTTCGAACCAATTTATAAAGGAAACATTGTGGTATGTTTAAAAAATTTATTTGTAAGTTGGGGAATCACCGACAAGTTAAGATCAGTTAATAGCATTTGTGTTAACATTTGTTTTATTTTTTCTCTTTTATGAGAAAAAATGAAAAAAATGTTAACGCTTTTATGAGTTTTTTACGAGTTTGATAATTTCTAATGAGTTTATTAATCGCTTTACCAGAACTGTCAACTGTTAGTTTTTATAGTAAATTTATATAATTACCTTGCACATTTTAAGGACCATATGATGATAATGATGGAGAAATATCAAAATCAGTTGGAAGATTTAGTAAACGAACGTACTACTGAATTAAGGGAAGAAAAACGACGAACAGAAAATTTGCTTCAGCGTATGCTGCCAGTGTATGCTTTTCAGGATGTTTCTAATTTTTTAGAGGAAGAAAACACACTGAATTTATATCTATCAAAAAAATTGGCCGGTACCGATTTGAATATAAAGAATTTATTGTAATTCCGTTCATTTATTGATTCTACTCTTTTTTGTTTTATGTTAAATTTTGATAATGCAACTGTAGTACTTTCAAAGAGCATTGTAGTTGGCAATACCTTAAAATAAACCCTTATATTACCCAATTATAATGGTTTTAGTATTGCATCATTCTGCAGTTCTTCAGTTCGGTAGCTCAACAGTTGCTTGCCGGTCGAGATGTTGTACCGGAATCGTTTTCTTCTGTTACTGTATATTTCTCGGATATTGTCGACTTTACAAAAATTTCCGCCGAGTCAACTCCTTTACAAGTAGTTGAATTCCTCAACAAATTATATACCCTATTCGATCATATCATCAAGCAGTATGATGTTTACAAGGTTATTCTATTTCCATGTTCTTTGCACATATCTTGTTTAGGGAATTTGACTGATTAAGTTCAAATGATGAGTGATCAATTGTGAGCAATTGAATTAAATTAAAATGTATCCATAATAAGGGAAGTTTTATGTTGTCGTCATATAATGAATTCAGTGATGGGCTTTTATTAGATAGAAGATTTATCGAATATTCATAGTGATATTAGAAAATTGAAAAGAAGCAATGAACAGATTCTTCATTTTAGGTGGAAACAATCGGTGATGCATACATGGTGGTATCAGGAATGCCTGAAGCTCGTGCGGTGGAAGTGCATGCAGAACAAATTGCTATGATGGCACTTCATCTTCTGGCTGCTGTTCGGAACTTCAAAATCCCACATCTTCCACAGGAACAGCTCCGATTACGTATTGGTATACATACAGGGCCATGTGTAGCTGGTGTTGTGGGCAAAACGATGCCACGTTACTGTTTGTTTGGCGACACAGTGAATACGGCTGCACGTATGGAAAGCAACGGCTGTCGTAAGTTACTTTTTTGGTATGTTGTCTGTGAGATGATGAATTACAAGTTTATTATTTAGCTGATCTGGTGAAAGTTAACCTGAAAGACTACAAAATTATAATTACAAATAGTAAGGACTAAACGCAGAATTTGTTTTTGTTTAAAGTGATTAACTGTTCCTGAATTATCTTGGATTATCTTGTTGTATAAGAATACAGGAAAAGTTCTTATTTAAAAATCTGAGACGACTAATGATGCCTAAAAATGGTAACAAATTTAATTTATAGAATTTTTTGGCTTATTATTACTTATTATACTGAAGAAGTTTTGCAGCCCTGAAAATTCAGTGCAGTGAACAAACACACGATGTTCTGATAACGATTGATGGTTTCGAACTGAAGAAGCGAGGAACGCTGCAAATTAAGGTTGATTACACGGTTCTTGATAATGCTGAGATTGAAAGGCTTATTTTGCATTTGATTGGAACCGAAAAGTTACTGTTTTTTTTTTTTTCAGTTTAGTCTTGGGAAGAGAAGATTAATACCTTGAGAAGAAAGGAGTGATTTATAGGGTAAAGGATTAATGACTACATATTGGCTAATATCTCGCAGAAATGCAACATTTCCAATAATGGATGGATGTGAATTGATGTTAGATAAAAAGTTGGTATCGAACGTTTTTCCACGAATGTCTGGTCGAAATAGAAGACTTTCCTCTTCGGGTATGTATATTTACTATAATGATGTCTCCTTCGATTTGTTTTTCTCATGTGTAGATTCGAATTACCACATTTCTAGGATGTTATATGTATTTGGTATACCAGTTTCTGCATATTATTGTAGATCGTGAAATCATAAATGTGATATCCGTATACTTCCTTTTTATTATACATAGATTTGTGTAATCATTTTTTTTACATAACATTCTTTCACTCCATAAGCAGGAGAAGTGTAAATGGATTCCAGTTATAACTTTATTCTTTTTACAGCAATCAACAAAGAATCATCTATTTCATTAGCGGGAAAAGAGCCATCGTTGTTACGTCGTATCATTGAACGCGCTACTTTTTTTCGAGATGATAATCTGGAATTTTTCAGTGGATATGTTCATGAAAATAACAATGTTAGCAGTAATAGGCAACAGTTGACATATTCGATTCTTCCATACAGGTATTTCTCGTAGTTGTTATTACTCTTTTGTTCACATTACTTAACAGTTTATAATTATTATAACATTTTTTTTGGTTTCTGGTTAATTGTAATGATACCAGCGTGTTGCCAACAATAACAAATTAATGAGAAGTATTATCGTTGACGAAACCAGAGAGATAAACTAAAAACATAAGGAAGAAATTGATGATGCAAAGGATGCGTGATATGTTTTTGTGACGATATGTAGCTCATATCAGTGTGTTGTCATGATCAGATATAGTTACGCTTGAGGTGTAACTCTCCATAAGATGAACATGGTCCAAGGGATATCTTCATGATCGGAAGAAAAAATAAGCATCCGAATTGCGACTTATCTATGTCACTGAAAATAAGTAGAGCCGTTTATATTGTCAAGGATAAAAGAAGAATTCCGATTGTCTGGCAAATCCTCGAGAATATACGTACATTATGTATGCAATAGCTTTTAAGCGAAAAGGACTTATCCAAAACGAATCGAGTACAGCTACATCTGGCTTATTTATGTATCTCGGTAAGATCAAAAGATAACCAGTACGATATTGATGTTCTGTGGGCATTATCATGAAATTCAGTTCATTTTTATTAATTATACAAGTACAAAAGCCATTAGCATTCATTCATTTACTCCCATTACAGCATTTACTAACTTTTTTTTCAAATGCTTTACTATTTTTCTTTTCTTCTCCACAATATAACTATCAAAACCTTTATAGACGGTCATTTTCCCTACCTTATAAAAATGCGTGCGGTCAACAAATAAAGGGTGCTGAGAACTTACAAATGAACGAGGTGCAAAAATCTGACAATATGCGATGTGTTGAAAATGACGGCGGGTTACAATCTTTCTGTGGCAGTTTAACGTCAAAGTGAACCATTAATCAATTTCTGTTATTTAACTTTAGAGATCTCTTTTCGGACTGAAAAAATGTGGAAGGATTATATGAAGAATTTTATGTTTTTTGTAGCACACATAGGTAGTTGATAGAATTTTATGACATGAATTAAACAGCGAACTTTGGTGAAATGCTATCTCTGATTTGAAGTATTTTAGATAACAGAATGAATAATTTGTGTAAGAAACTAATCTTAAAACAATTATATTGAGCAAATTGTCAAAAAATAATTGTGTTAGCTGTGTTTTAGAAAACGTCCTCTTTCTTATGGAGCAAGCAAATATTCATCTGCTAATGCTGAGATGTCAGATGTTTGTAGTCCATTGATTTTGGAAGAATACAAGATGTCGAAGTACGTGCAGAATTGATACGTATATATTCAACCTGGTAGAATTTAAATATAGATCAAGACAAGACATACCAGTAGACTGATATGTGTTTCTCTAGGTTCCGATAATAATTGGAATTTCAGTCTAGCATTTTTGAATTAATAACTTTAGGAAAAAAATGGAGGATTGATCTTTCATTCAAACTTAGTTCCTCTAAAAGATTATGTAATTCATTGCTTCCAAGATTTATTAGCAACGACATAAGGACAGTTTGGAAGAGTTCTAAATTTCATAGTTATAGGTGGTCAAAACTCATTAGAAGTGCGCTTTCTTTATCTCAAAATCGCGACTGAGAGGAAAAGAATCGGTTCGGTCAGAATTTGAAAAAACGTTTGACCTCAAGTACATCCACGAATGCGTCTTGGCAGTGGTTGCCTCATGCACTTTACAGTTCGGACTCATCGATAACAACTGTTCCTGAGAATTTACTTAGATCTAGTTTATTTCAACGGAGTGCGACTTAAATATTTAGTGAATTACGGTATTTTTGATTTCTTGGATGTTGTCCAGGATATGACTCCGCTAGCCTTTCCATATCATTTATCCGTTAATTCTTATCATCTGTTATTCGTGCATTCTATTACGCATATCAGTCATTCTCCGAAATTTTGTTGATTTTGTTTTACCAGGGTGTCAAAATGAGTGAAGTTTATGAATTGTCAAATTTGACTTCATATAACTCTACTTTTTTTGAGCATGCTACTTTCAGTGATCTCAGTTAGAACAGGATTTATGCTTGTTTTTCTAGTACCAGTATTTTTATTAAGTTATTTGTGCATTAAATTATATCATATCTACCCTTTGCCTTTTAATAATACGAAATTTCATATTGAGAATAACGAAAAAACAAATGATACAGCGATAAAACTGAAATAAGAAATTAAAATTAGAAAAATTAATTTACAGTCAGATTAATGCCATTTGTCTTGTAATAAAGCGATTCAGAGATGAATTAGATGAAATTTTATGAGGAGATTAGAACTTTGAATTTGAAAGGAATTTAATAATGAGTTGAATTTGCTACTTAACATTCCATTAGGTGATTATTAAATAATTAATAGCATTAATTGTTTTACTCTAAAACGTATAAACAGTGAAGCAGGTTGACAATTGAAATTTTTGATTATAATTTTTTTCTTTTTTTAATTGTAGTTAATAAATTGTATGCTGTAATGTGATATGCCTTATATCGTAATTTTGTTAGAATCTTGTGATCTTTCTCATTTGTTTAGATTTTCCCTTATGTTGATGGTCGAATAATTTACTTCAATTAATTTGATTCGATTTTAATTAATTCTCACTAATAAAATAATTTAATGGCAAAATTTTATGGAACACAGATTTATTATAGTGGAAAAAGCATTAGATTCTTTGTATGTTATTTTGTAGTGGTATGTTTTGCTATCGATATCGAATTATTTCAATGAAGAAGAATGTGACAACAGTTGAACATAAGAAATGATCATTTATTTGCATATTGGATAAAAGTAAAGGATTTGATAGCGGAAGTTTTATGATTAAATTTGAATAATATTGAAGCGTTTTGAGCAATTATCACATTTATCAACCATAATTGGAATTGGCCATTTCATCGTATTAATAACATATCATTTGATGATATTCTAGCCGACATATGGTAAAAATAAAGCCAATCAGTGTGTGTGGTGATCGAAATAAAAATAGTTGTTGACTAACTAACCATTCGAATAAACAATTATTGAAATAATCAAATTGTTATTACTGTAATTAATCAATGAGTGAGTCATACTTCCAAGTCATTAGAATATTTATTCGTTGCTCCAACTAATACATGTTAGTTTATTTCATTTTCATTCCTCTTTTAATTCATCTTTGTTCAGTTAATTTTATTTATACGACAATAATTTGAATTTATTTATGTTTACTTTACAAAAATTGAAACTTTTCTCGCTTTTTAATCCCATGCTTGAAATATTACTAAAATGGAGAAAGCATTATTCCTTAATCATTGCTATATTTTTTCCTTTTTCCACTGAAATTCATCTTTCATAATTGGCAATGCTTCATTTTTCTATCAATTTCCCTTCAATGATTCACTAATTGCTCAATTGAATGTATTAATGCCTTTATGAGTTATGTTAATTAACATCATTTTTTTTTTCATTCTTAATATTATCTGTCACTTTTTTTTATATTTTTGTATTTTATTTCACAAAGCGCATATTATTTACTACTATCATTATCACTATTATTATTGTTATTAATTGTTAATATTAGTTTGCTAACTTATCATTAGGTAATTACTACATCCAAGAAACATAAAATTAATTTTGTTTCATGTTATAATATTTTATTACAATATGAAACTTACAAAATGTTTCATATTGAATGAATGAATGCATGCAGCATGAGTAATCATATTGTATGAATAATTATATTGTTGAAATAATCATATATGAATGAATATATTATCACACTGTTTGTCATAATTTAATTTACTCTTATTAGTTCTCTGAAATGAGAATAACTAAAAAAGACTGTCACATCGTGTATTCCATTTTTATTTCCAGTTTATTTTATGCCAAGCTTCTGGCAAAAAACTTTTTATTCTTCTCATTTCCTATTTCTCTCATTTTATGTTAAAATGAGAATTGACCTGCAAATTTCTCAATATGAAAGGAAATCAAAAATGTACTAAATATGATGCACAAAAAAGAATGAGTATCTTACAAATTAGTAAAGACAGTTTTTATCGGAAGAGAACGATAATTTAGAAATGCTACGAAATTGTTGTGGAATGATCGATATTTCGGAAGTCCAGTGTTTTCAACTTTTTTATTTAATAAAATTTTGTTCCAAATATTTATTCAGAATTGCTATTACATGAGTTTCAAAGCTTTCTTTTTCTTTTTTTTCCTTTTTTAATGCTTTAAAGAATTGAAGAATTGCAATCTTTTATTTTCTGCCAACTTTTATAAAATCATTTCCGTCAAGAAAAAGAAATTGTTTTTTTAAATGTAAAAGGATCAAGCAGAATAATTTAGATAGTTAGCATTATTAGAAGTTAAATCATATTTAGTATTAAATTATACATTGTACGAAATGTTTGAATCATTCGCGATGTTTCCTAAATAAATTCATTAATTAACTGATTAACTAATTAAGCAAAATGACATGAAGAAAGGTGTTTTAAGAAAAATGAAAAAAGAAAGAAGTTGAATGATAATGAATTGATAAATTTACATAAAGGAGATAATTGTGGTGAATTATTCAATCTTCCTCTAATTATTATCATTATTTACTGTCATTTCTGCTAAATCAAGTTGTCATTATCATTATTCATTATCAATTAGAGCAAACTTCTCCTGTATGTATCAGAGATTAGATAAGAAATATAGATTACGCTCTTATCACTAATTATCCGTACCAAACGATAATAAATTGAATTTACTGATAATTATTACTAAATGACTGATTTATAAGATCAAATCTTCGTTTTATTAATAAATCGGAAAAATGTGAGAAATTGAGAGGGCAAAAAAAAGTTTAAAAAGAAGTAAAACTATTCTCAATAAAAAGGAATACAATACCGTTACAGTATTATCGATTCAACAAAATTCAAGTGACTTTCAGAGAGTAATTTTAAAATTGCGATTTTGTGAAGGAGGAAAAAAGAATTAAGGAATTGAGAAATGGAACTATGAACCATGAAACTTCTAATTAGATGTTATTAGGAAGAATGGTACCACGGGGTACCATGTTATACTGATATCACTTATAGAAGATTGATATATAATTTAGCATACACAAATACATTCGATCAATTTAACTTTGACTGAAATTTTTAAATTTGTCATAAAAAGTAATAAATCAAAAAGGATCGGAAAGAAAATTGAGTGTTAATTTCAGGTAAAATACATCCCATAACTTATGATCGTTGAAAATTTGCAAATAATTAAACGAAAATAACAATTACTTTTCCTTCATTTAAATTATCATTATCATTTTATTTAATCCGAAAAGCGCTATAACATGGAAAAAGTTGAGATTGCATGATGAATTAATTCGTTTTAAATGTATAATATGCAGTGAAATTGTTATTATATTTATTGTTAATATTTATCACTCATTTGAGATGTTAATCAATTTATTTCATTTCTTCCATAATCATGGGAATGAAACTGTGCATAGTTATATGGTAGATAACATACAGTATGCTGATAAACTGATAAGAGTTCAAATCAATGAAATGCCGATAAACATCAAAGATTATAAATCTTACCGCAATACACAATGATTAGCATTCCATGAAGAGGCGGGGGAGCAGAAATTACAAACCAACCAGAAATCTCACAAACATTTCCACCACATTTAATGAGGAGATTGATTGTTGTTATTCAGTCGGTCATTCGATCAGTTAATTGATGGTCATCAAATGACCCATTCAATCTGTCACCTCGTTTTGCATTCAATTTCAGGAAGCTAAGAGATGAAAGGAGAGAGATCGGGAGGACGGGAGTGCGGGATGAGAAGTGATGTCATTGAGCAAAGGTGATGTGATTGAGGGTAGGACAAAAGAGTATGCTAGCAAGAAGGGGCGCTAGAGAATGAAAGAACTGTTGAGAGATTTGTGGGTGACTGATTGTTTTAATGGTGTTAGAAAGCTCTACACGGTTTCTCTCCCTCTTCATCTCTCTCTCTCTCTATCTTTCTCTCTCTCTCTCTCTCTCTGCACATATTAAATGAGATACTCGTTTATAGTTTGGACATATTTACATTGTGTTACATTTGTTTTGCAGCGGAAGAGTTCTTCTTTTTTTTTCCGCTCTTTTACTAGTACTGAAAGTCTTCAGCGTGCAGCGTACGCTGCGAACATTAACAACATTTCAACTCCTACTAATGATTACTGATGATTATGTGTGATCATTGAGTATTTCGTTTTTCTGACTTATGTCGAACCTTTGACAGAATTTAAACATTAATTAAATTTATAATACAAA